TCTGCGCGCCATCGCCGCATAAAAAAAAGAAAATCCTAAACCCAATAACACTGGCTCAGAAGCTGGGGCCANATGGGATTGCAATCCCCGTGCCCTCCTGAGCGAAACCGTGCCAAGGGCTCAGAAGGTGGGGCCGTAACTAGTTGAAGCTCACCGTGACAGAGGAGCTACACAAATTGGGCGGTGGCGGTGAAGCGACAAGGGACGACAGGGTCCAGCTACATCCCGAAGAATCCGCGCATCTGCGAACTGCCAAGGTGAGCCTCCTCTTGCATGAGCCCCTTCTGACGCGGGCGACCGCCGCAAACAGATAAAATATGACACGCAACTAGCAACCCCGGTCAAGGTCTGCGCGCGGTCAGTCTCTGCTTATCCCTGGTGCTTGTACGCTTGCGATTGTGTGTTACACGTGATCGACCACTGTAAAGCTTATTTTCCAGCATCGCTTTTTGAAACAGTTGAGAAACCTCAGACAAACCCTCCGCGACAGGGGAGCTTTGTCAGAAATGTTCGCAATCCCTTGCGATAGCCCGATCTGACGCGGGCGTCCGCCTCAAGCAGCTGTGAGGGATCAGCAATGTGCAGGCATTAGACACCATCCGCCACGCCGCTCAACGTTGGCGTGCGACTAATCTCAGCCGGTTCCTTTGAGCCTTGATTCTTGCGAGCGGGTGTTGCACGTGATCGGGGCTGTAGTTATTTTCTAGAACTGCTTTTTGGGAAGAGCTCGCACTTCCCTTACGAGAGCCCGACCTGACGCGGGCGGCCGCCGCAAACAGCTGAAGCATGAGACGAAACCAGTAACCGAGGTCAAGGTCGGCGCGCGCCCTGTCGCTACTTGTCCCTCGTGCTTCGTACGCGATTGTGTGTTACACGTGAACGGCTGTGTAGCTTCTTTTCTAAGTTAGGAAACCTTGATAAATCAAATGATCCTCCCTGACAGACAGCTTTGTCCGAAAAGCTTGCACGTCCCTTGCGAGAGCCCGATCTGACGTGGGCGTCCGCCTCGAACAGCGGTGAGCGATTAACTATGCGCATGACTAGACGCCATTCGACACCCCGACCAACATCGGCGCGCGGGCTGTCTCAGCGGGTCCTGGTGCCTTGATTCTTCCGAGCTTGTGTACACGTGACCGGGGCTGTTCTGATGTTCCAAAACCGCATGTTCGGAGAGTTGGTTGTTGAACACATCTTGCATGAGCTCCTTCTGACATGGGCGTCCGCCGCAAACATCCAAAACATCAGGCGCAACCATCAACCCCGGTCAAGGTCGGCGTGCTTCCTGTTTCTACTGGTCCCTGGCGCTTTGTACGCTTGCGATTGTTTGTTGCACATGATCGCCTACGTAGCTTCTCCAGGACCGCTCTAATTCGTCAGGAAACCTCAGAAAAACCCTCCCTGACAGAAAGAGATCACTCGGCAAAGCTCGCATTTTCCGTGCGAGAGCGCGATCTGACGCGGGCGTCCCCCTCAAACAGCTGTGAGGGATCACGTAGCTATGTGCAGACTAGACGCCATCCGACACGCTGGTCAAGGTCGGCGCGCGGCCTGTCTCAGCTGGTTCCCTTGTGCTTTGATTCTTCCGAGCGCGCGCACACGTGATCGGCGATGTTCTTATTTTGCCCGAAACGGATTGTCGGAGAGTTGGTTGTTGAACAAATCTTGCATGAGCTTCATCTGACGCGGGCGTCCGCCGCAAAAAGCTGAAGCATGAGACGCAGTCGGCAACTCCGGTCAAGGTCGGCGCACGGCCTGTCTCTACTGATCCCTGGTACTTGGTACGCTTGCGATTGTGTGTTACACGTGATCGGCTCTGTTGCTTCTTGAGAAGTCTTACTGTTGTCTTTTCTTCCCACTGAACATCCCGCGAACATCCGCAAACCGTATTCCCCTCCCCAGGCCCACTTCTGCGATGGCGACGACGGACCGCGACGCATTGGTCGCCCTTTACAACGCAACCGGCGGGGCGGGCTGGTATCGAAACACAAACTGGACAAATACTGATGTACCCCTCTCGGCATGGCATGGAGTCCAAGTTAACGACCAGGGCCGCGTGGTTGGATTAAAACTGTTGGAGAACAACCTGAAAGGTATTTTTCCGTGCTTACTTGGTCCGTAGAGGCTGCTGCCGTCTTGCAATATGCTCGACCTTTCCCAAGGATTCCTTGACCGACAGCAGTGGCCGTTCCATGAAATTGCAAGTTCAACAACAGGCCACAACGTTGACAATTTCGTACGTACTCTCATGCTGCACGCAGTCCACTCCTGAGTACCCCTCGTATGTGAACTCGCCGCGGTACGAGCACGCCGTGCGCACGATGCTGCTCTACTCGTCAATGCTAATCGATACCGCGATGTCTCGTCTCTTAGATTGCTCATTGAACACCCTCCACTTGCACACCAAATCGACTTTCCTGGCTTTTAGATGCCTCTGGTAAGCAGGCGATCTTCGGTATTGCTTCTATCGGGGGATCGGGGTGCGTTTCCCTCCGCGTTCGTATTTGTGTTGATGCCAAGGGTCTTGTCGTGGTAATGTTCAAGTCCAGTGGAGCTGCGATCAAAGTGTCGTGTTGTTAGAAGTTCTGACCATATCGGGACAACATGGGAGAAGACTCCGGGCGGGTCAGGTTGACCACTTGTGGGTGTCTCTTCGTCCACACACATGTCCACAAGACCCTGGGGTTACCCCTATTTTCAGGCCAAAAATGTGTCCCAAACCGGGTGAACTTTTCGTGGCAAAAAGACTGCGCTTTTCCTTCTTGGACCAATAAAAACGTTCGGAATTTGAATCAAAATATAAAGACACACGAACACACACGAACAGACTGGACAAATATGGTCAAGCGCGTTCACGCAGCAATGCGCGAGGTGGACACCCGTCACTGCGCTCACTGAGGCTGCTGGCACACACAAAAAGCCAGTACCCCACAGCCCGACCGGTCATAGATGGCGGACCCCACCGGTTCGAAGGCGGACCCGCCCGCTTCGACGGCGGACCCGCCCGTTCTGTTGCCGAAAAAAAGAAAAAGGGCAACGGGCAAACAGCCGGGCGGTTGTGAGAGCGGGAAAACAAAAAAAATGCGCGCTGCTGCTGCTCCAGCTGTATTTTCTCGCTCTCAACACCAAGTCTGTCGATGATAGCAGCTGCACGCAGCTTCGCCTGCCTCTCTTGGTATCGTCCTGCTTATGTTGGTTCTATCAACCTGTAGGACTCGGAGGCATACGAAGTAGTCGCACTAGAAGGGTGCCAAAAACACACGAGGGCGAAGATACACACACTCGCACGCACGAACCTTTTTCTTCAAATTAGCATTTCTCGTCTCGGCAACCTTTCCCCACGCCGACGTCGCCTCCAGCTCCCTCCTCACTTGCTCTACCTCCATCCGGGTGCGGATGAGCTGGTCTTTCGCGGAAAGCAGCGGATTCCGGTTGTGCTGCTGTTGCTGCACCGCCATCACGCTTGCCGCTTGTGGACAAAAAATCTCCACCATCTCGCGCTGTTGATCTTGAAGCATTTTTTTCTCCAACCGCAAGTTTCCCAGCTGGGTCAGGACGATCGCCACCTCCTCTCCATCAGCAGCCCTCTGCTGCTGCCTCTGATGCTCCGAGGCCTGCTCGCGTGCGGTCGCTGCTTGCGCCCGTTGCTCCGCCTCGATTCTACGTCGCTGCTCCTCCCCAAGCTCCTTCTTCAGATCGGCGCGCAGGACTCGCTCTTGCGCCAACAGTTGTCGCTCCTCTTCTGCGGCCTGCTCCGCCGATTTGCGGACTCGACCCTCTCTACGCTTCGCCAACTGAGCTTTTTTGAGTTTCTCGAGGGTAGCAGCGGCCGTACGCTTCAGGGTAGGGTAGTCGGCCTTCTCGGCAGCCTTGCGTGCGCGCCCAGCCGTCGCTGCGTCCGCAAACGTGCATCCCTCCCTCTCGAGAAGAGAAGTCGTGAAGTTTTTGAAGATTTTTTTTTGGACTTGACGCGACCCTTGTTTTTAGTTTTTACCACCGCCCTTAGCCATAAATCAGGGGGTGATCTGGTAATCAATGCCACTCGTCGGGTTCTAGGCCAATCGGGGATCGTTTTTTTTAGCTGTGTGCGCAGAAACCAGAGCTAANTTTTGGACTTGACGCGACCCTTGTTTTTACCACCGCCCTTAGCCATAAATCAGGGGGTGATCTGGTAATCAATGCCACTCGTCGGGTTCTAGGCCAATCGGGGATCGTTTTTTTTAGCTGTGTGCGCAGAAACCAGAGCTAAAGAAGTAGCGAAGGCGATTTTTGACCCTCGTCTAGGTATTCGCGCCAGCTGCGTCAACAGCCGAATTTTCCGTCGTTTCGGGATTTTTCAACCACCAAACGGAAATCGGCTTCGCTACTTCTCTAGCTATAGCATATTACAGGTGATTGTAGATTGAGAAGAGCCATCTCCTCGCCGTCTTCGCGCATTTATGATTGCCAGTTCCTTGTCTTTGCTCAAGTAAGTAGGACTGCTGTCTGTGTGCCCCCTTCAAACAAAAAAAACAAAATCCATTCGCAGCATTTCGTTTTTTGTTGCTCCGCAGGGGGGTAACCCCAGGGTCTAAAAACCAGTTTTTCAAAATCCTACTCTTAACGCAATTCTGCTGACAGTTCATACTTGGACTCCGAGAATCTAAGATTCTATCCAATCCTATCAAAAGTCCAGTCGAATCTCTCAACTTATTTCCCGATGAATATACCAATCCGCCTCACAACCCTCCGATAGTTCAGTACCCTTTCAACACTTCGCGCTCTTTTCCACCCTCTTTCCAAGTAGTACGCTTGGCTGCATTCAATAAACACCAGCCCTGTTCCATACCACACTTTTACCCGTAATCACCCGGTAATTCCACAGTCCCAATAAATGCGGCCCGATTGCACCACATTCGCCCACCCTGATTCAGAGTCAACCTTTCTACTTGTATAGATAAGTTGTACACAGAAACCACGCAAAAAGGTGCAATCTACTACACGCTTTCGTCATACTCAAAACCTCAACTGTATTCCTTGATTCTTTCTTTTGTGCATAGTCTACCAATTTTCATGCCAATTCAACACCCTCTCGTTGTCAATATCAACAGTTATATTTCATCGATCTACAGCAGTCATTCCAACAGTCCTGTTCGATATGCTGTCAACCACACATACACCACTTTCTCTATTGATTACATAATACTCTTGTCGATCTTCAAATCAACCTTCTGCTCTCAACCCTCATGTACTAGTACTTTTCACAGAATTATCACGTCATCCTCCTGCCTGCTGCCTACAGCTCCTTCCATACAAACCCTCCTTGAATCCCTTTTGTATCCCCTCACTCTTTCTGTTCCGCGTTATCGAACGCATTGTAACACTTTGTGCATCGATGCACTGACACCCTCTCATTAATCCCCTTCCCTGGCTCATCCTTACTTCTTTCGAGCAATAAAACCTTGGGTCCCACTTCTTTTGTCATGTGATCCTTTCCCTGGGCCAACAAATAAGACTTTTGAGCTAGTTTGCCGATTAACGCGTATGATTTTCCTCCTCCATTGAAATCCAGTGCCGATTTTGACACACGTTCTCCCCCTCCTGATATTGTGCTTTAATCGTCACACACTAGGACCCACTCGCCTTCCTCAACTTTGCTCTTTTGCCAACTACTTCCCCTATCTGCTTATTCCTTTCTTGATGTTTCTTTGTCGTGATTTCATCCTCCTAGACCAACTCATATGCCTTCACTTGTCGGTCCCTGACCAAATCCAAATAGTCAAGTTGATCCCTTAACCCTTGTATCTCCCTCGCACCCCTCCTTTCCAAGATGGTCATTGGCAGTCTTGGATATCGCCCAATGTGTACCATATTAGGCGCAAGTCCTTTTCCTCTGCTCACGTTATTGTTGTGTGCTGAAATTGCATGTGGCAACATTTCGTCCCTATCTTTTTGAGTATCTGCCACCGCGTGCGCCAGCATTTGACACAGTATGATTTAACCTTGTCACCATTCCATTCGTTTGGGGATGATAGGAGCTAGTAAACTTGTTGATAGATCCCATCATGTTATACACCCCTTTCGCCACACCTGTAGCAAATTCCGGTCCTCTATCCGACAAAAATGTGTGCGGACAACCCCATCTTTGTATGTATTCATTGACCAGAATTGCCACAAATCCTTTTGCATTTTTCTCACTTTTTTTGTAGAGAGTACCCTTTGGCATGCCTACTGAACACATTCATCACGAAGAAAATGTACTCACAGTCGTTGCTCGTTTTCGGCAATGGACCCAAATAGCCAAAAGATACAATCTGTCCAGGCCCGCTTGGCAAAGGTAGTGAAACCAATGACGTAGCTTCGTGTACCTCGGTGTTTTTCTGAATTGACAAGAATAGCACCTACAGCACCACCATCGCACACTCTCCGCCATTATCACCCACTAATGCAATCGTTGTAAAATGCTTAACGTCACCTTCTCACCTAGGTGTACTGCTTCTTTGTGTGCGCAGTCCATCACCCGAGGTCGTAACATCAGAGGCACGTATGTCCTTACAGGTTCATCCCCCAACAGCCTGTCGAACTGTCCCGGATTCCGATCTGGCCTGTTTGATGGTTCACGCGTCGCACGACGAACCAGCAATTTACGTGAATCAGTCGGTACCATGATCGTTCCTTGCGCGATCAACCGTTTAACATCATCAATATCCACCCCTTCAGGTATATCTTTTCCCACTATCTTACGTACTTCAACCTCATATGCAATTAGCTGGAGTGCTGTCTTTGCTGTCAGGTCTTTGTTTTGCGCTTCGACCCAATCACTAGCCGTCTTTTCACATAACCGTTCTCCAAATTCTTTGTCTTCCTTGCTGTTCCAACCCTCGAATTGGGACCCTTGCAATCGAAGCACTGGTGTTGGTTCAGCTTCAGATTTGTCACCTGCTGAGCCTCCTCCTTCATTTGAGTTTAAATGCCATAACCCTTATGCTCTTGACTCTTCGTTGCTTTTTGATAACTCCCACTCCCAACAAACATCTCCCCACCTCTGTCATCGGGACCGCATGCAATATTTAGGCTGATTCCCATTGCCCACTGACCACCATGTTCTTTGGATCTACCAGCGGAGTCTCGTCTTTCAAAACATAATTCGTCGGTTTATCGTTATCCTTAGAGCCATTGTTTCTCTGTGCTGCTGAATCACCTGCCACGTCCGATCTGCATCATCATCGGTCGTGAGCGGCCGATAGCGGCCGATGTCCATCTTCCCCCCACCACAAAATTCTTGCGAGGGTCGGCTTGTGTCGGACGTATTCGCCCACCCAAGCCAGGACCCACTCTCGCAGGAATAACCCCGCTTGCACCTTTATCATATACACATCCAGATCGGACGGATCAGTTAATCTCGTTTCGGGAGATGCATCTTCCTCTGTGGGCGGCAAAGGTAAGCGAGACATACAATCCGCATTGCCATTTGCTTTGCCAGGCCGATAAACCAGCTCACATGTGTACGCGGACAGGAATTTAAACCACGCTTGAACCCTGTAGTTCTTTTCCGCCAAGCTCTCTAACTTTCGTAAGGTTGGTGATCACTGTATATCTTAAAAGGAATGCCGTAGAACAGTGTTCGGTTTTTCTTGATAGCCCAAACAATTACCCCACACTCGAGCTCTGTTGCACTCCACCTCCGTTTATTGGGATTCGTCGACCTGCTCAAATAACACAGTGGTCGCACCGTACTATGCTCTTGCTCTTGCTCAATAACTGCTCCATGTCCAGATACCGATGCATCCGTGATTAACCTAAACGGTCTTTTCCCTGATGTCCCTCCTGCATAGTCAGGAAATGCCAACACTTGCGGACTTGACAATATGTCCCGCATTTCTTGTATCGCCTCGGCATGCCTTGCGGTGAACACAATGTTTGCATCCTTCTTCAACAACGTTACTGAATGCAATTATGCACACATCCCTTTCAAAAAATTCCGATAATACGATAGACTTCCCAAAATTGACCGTAACTGACTAACATTCTTCGGCATCGGCATGTGCAACATGGGTTCATCTTCTTCGGACAAGGCTCGATTCCTTCAGCCGTCACTTGATGTCCCAATAACGTCACCAGTTTCACCCCCAAATGTGCTTTCTTCGGCGCCAGCTTCAGGTTGAACTTGGTCATGCGTTCGAAAACCTCTCCAAATCTTGCACATGTTTTGCACCATTTCGGGAGTATACGATAGCATCGTCAATGAATAATCGCACTCTTTCCAACCCATCATACACACGTTGCATGACTGAGTGGAACCACACTGGACTACTTGACAACCCTTGCGGCATAGCCATGAATTCAATAAGCCTGTGGCTGTTTTAACAGCAGTAATCGGAATGCTGTCTTCTTCAATACAACACTGGAAAAATCCGCTGATCAAATCCAGAGTGCTGAATATTTTCGCCGACTTCGGATCCGGCAAAATGTCCTGCACGATTGGTGTTGTCAGTTTTGGTATAACGCTCATTTGGTTCACCTTTTTGTAATTCACCGTGAACCGCACTCTTTCCATTAGCTTTTGCAACCACGACCAAGGGACTTGCCCAATTACTGTTTGATCGTCGCAAGACCCTGGCAACAGCAGTTTATCGATTTCTATCTGCACTTGTTCATTGATGACCGGCGAATAATGATACGGCCGTTGTTTAACCGGCTGTGCCCCCGGTTTAAAATAGTTCGGAACGGATCCACCTTGACTTGTCCCAAATCAGTACCGTCCTTTGAAATCTCTGCTCATATTAACATAACAGATGACTTCGGGCTCCCACAATTCCGCGTTGAAATCGAAACGAACATCTCGTATATGCGCTGGCACCTTCTGCCATAGACGCCGAAATGCCACCTGTTGCGAGGGGTTTAAACCAGCCATGACATATTAGGAGGTTTATCTTCAGGCACCATCACTGGACACCACATGTACCTTATATTTCTCATTTGGCATAAGCCTGGCATCTTCCATACTAACAACCTCCAGGGGTTTACCACCCTCACCCAATAGATCATTGTGCTTCACCAAAAATGCAGCATCTCCCACTCGTCTGAAAGGAATTTCAGACTTGCTTCTTGAGGGAACCATTTATCCTTGGATTTTACACGGTATGTTCCTTCTGCAGCTTCACTGCCATCAGGGTTGGTCAATTCAACCTGTACCAAGACATTTTATTTGGCAACCACCGTTTCTTTCCCGCACCTGACTACCACTTCCCCACTCCCCTCGTGTTCAATCATTCCAACATCGTTGTCAACCCATTTTGCAAATTCTTGGTCAACTACTGCTGCCTTTCCCTCATTTGTTTCGAAGGTCACTATTGCTTCGTTATCCGATACATCCCTGTATTTTCGAACAGGAAAATGAGACCAACCCTCTCGGCCCAATAAAACATCCACATCAATAGCTCCGTCCAGGACCACATGCGCTAGCACAGCTAAGCATGCGGTAGGTGATCCAAAATTCTTCGGTGCTTGTTTTCCTCCTTTCCACAATGTACGTTTAATCTCACTTGTTGTGTGGTGATCAGGGGCGTTCCGTAAAATCCTCCCCATTTTCTTTAGTCCATCCCTTATCCCATCCATAGACGCAGACCCAAACTCCAACATATGATCCACACACCTTTGTTGTATGAACGACGCCGGACTTCCAGTATCTAGTAGTGCCTTACACAGGTGCATCGTTGTTGCTTGAACACCCGCGAACACTTCAACTCTCGTGGTGTGGCGCGCGTCCAACGTGACTTCCCCCCCAATTGCGCTTGTGAAGGGAGACAGATACTCTGCTGGTTCTCCTGCGGATATATAAACCGGCATGGGGGATAAACCAAGGGCGTATTGTCAAACGTCTCGTCATTTTGATCCAGTGGATACACACTAATTCCTTTTGCTTGATGCTTGTGTTCCAACTGTGTTTATCTACCTTTATCCCTGGGTCTCCTCCTAGCATTCTCTGCGGGAGTTGTATATTTTGGGTTTAGACTTTCCCTTCTGTATACGATCGATAGATTCCCCACTTTTCCGGGCGTCATCTTTGCTAGCAGGGTCCTTTTGTTCGGCCCCATGTACAGTTGTTACGGTACCATAGGCCGTGGGTGTCCAAGCTGGTTTTCTCCGCGAGGATCCTGCACTGTGGATACTTTTGTCCACCCCCCTTTTATTTTTACCTCACCGGGCGCTACTGCTACTTGGTGATGCGGTTTCAGGCTTCGCTTGGCCAAACGAAGGAGGTTGTCCTCGACCTTTCCTGCAACAGTTATCAGTGACCGACGAACGAGGGTTTGACTGTTTTTAAAACAGGTTGGCACATGATGATGTTTGCACACAAGACCAGATATATCTTGCGGGACGCTAGTCCGCTCGTTGCTCCTGCCCGAATGGCCCAATTCCGTCAACGCGTCTTTCATCGCAACGGACTCGGCAGGCGGTACCACAGATTCCGAACTCACACAGTTTCGGGGGTAATTACTTCCATCACTGTTACAAATTCCGAAGGCCCATATGTTTCCACCCTTACCATTGTTAGACGGATAGCATCCCGTCCCAGGATCGTGTCTCGTGATGCGCTTCACTCGCCCGTCCATACCCTGAAACTCTCTCGGTCTTGGAGCAATGTCGTGTCTCTTGACCTCAGTTCCTTCGTTTGCTTTGTTTTTCCGGTTCTCTGAACAAGGCGGATTGAACGGCCGACGTGCTACCGGGGAGGCGACCGAATTCTTACCGTTGCACCTTCAACCGTGTTTTTTACGCTGTTCATGCCAGTCTCTGAGTCGTTTCAACCATTTTGACCATCTTACTGGACCAATTGCGGCGGTCCCTGACCCAATTCCGGGTTGAGCATGTTCGATTTATTTATGAAAGGGTGGGTGCATTCTCGCACAAAGTGTGACTGATGACCGCAGTTCAAACACTTTTAACCCATAGGCTTGTCGTGCCACATCTTGCGATCGTCGGCTTTCAAATCGAGTATCGAAAGGGATGTAAGATTCATCACCCTTTCCTTGTTCCCATTGTTTCGCCAAGAAATGCACTCTTTTGAATTCTCGTTCTTCGTCCTCCATGTCTTCATGAATATTGATCACTCTTGCCTCCTGAGAGGGCTGTTTACTGTACGTCCTCCTTGTCCTGCCCTTGTTTGCACACTTAACAGTATTTCTTTCCACCGCCGTAGCTTCAGTCGTGTTGCATGCCAAAGCCTCCAGTGCATCCATCAATTCCCCATTACTGTCATTCGGTACAGTCACGTGTTCGTTCGACAATTCGTCAGAATTTTCTTCGTTTTCCTCGGTGGCACTCTCTGGCTCCACTGCACTATTAGATACAGTGGACGGCTCTGTCACACTCTGCTGCATAGTTGAAGGCGGGTCGATCACCGCTGGGGTAACCGCTACTACTGTCATGGGGGCGTTTACTGCCCTCGTTAATGTGCCCACAGGAGGCAATTTCGTTGCGTCCACCATAGGAGGTTGTTCCATCCCAGAGTCTGTTTCTCTTGTCCCCATAGAGTTTGTTTCTCTTGCCCCCATACTTCCTCTGTATCATAAGTTAGGGTACCTAAATGCAATAGATTGTCTGGGTGCAACCGTGTTAGTGATGGTAGCATAGTCGGGTTTGTAAGAAAGATATAACAAAGAAGCGATGGAAAAAAAATTAAAAAAAACGAACATGTATTTCTGTACCTACTANTAGTCGACTTTTTCTTCTTTTTCCCCGCCACCAACCAACCCTTCTTTTTGTCCCGCAAGTGTCTTGATTTTAGTGTGACCCCCCAAGTGTCGTGGTTTTAGTGTGGTTCACTACTATACTGATTTTAGTATAGGGGGCGCGACATGGATCGTTGAGTAGAGGGGGGGGTTGGATGAGGGCCCTACTGTTG